GCGTCGTCCGGAGGAGAATCTGTCTTGCGTTCTAATAATGGTGTCTGCAGTTGGTTGATGTTTCATCGATGGACACTCGCTGATGTAATGAAACGAGGAATAATGAGTGGCGCGCGTGTTTGCGGCTAAAAGTGCGCATGCGACCGTTGAGCGACTCGAAAGCGAACGTTTCGACAGTTGCTGAAATAATAAAAAAGCAAAAAGTACACGCAAACACACGCAAACACACCCACACCCACACACACACACACATACACACATACACACACACAGAGAGAGGGAGGGAGAGAGGGAGTGAGAGAGAGAGAGAGAGAGAGAGAGAGAGAGAGTGAGAAAGGGCGCGCGGAAGGTGATTACGTTTGTTTGTTGATTTTGTTTGTTTGTTTTGTCGGTGCAATGACGAGGCGAGGACTTCCCAAAGGGAAAGTTGACGCTAGCCGACGCGCCCGTTTACAGATGTAACGATGAAAAACGAGCTGCACTGTGATGCAATGCGAAACGATTAATCAACGATTTATACGTGTTATATCTATTATACTGTTGTTGTATTTATACTTGGCGTGTGCGCTTTATTGAGAGTACTATCGGTTAATGAGTCGATGCCTTATTAGTTTTTAGATTTTGTTTGTAAGTTACATATGCGTATACATGTGTGCGAGTAAGGTTAAGGTTGCGGCGAATAGCGCGACTTTACGGCCATGTCGTCCAGTCATAAGCGGAGACCCGAGAACGGAAATTTTGTAGGATCGCCGTGTCCATAGCCCGACAGTTGTCCAACACTTTATGTAACAAATGTTCTTTTACATTTACATAGTTATTTACGAGCGTTAAAGCGACACTCCCATTAAACCGTTCTCACTTTTAAGGATTCGTGATTTTTTCTTTCATTTTTTTTTGTTTTTTACGTTTTCCAAAATGTCGCGCTCTTAATGAACAATAATAAACTGAAACTATTATGATGACAGTGATAAAGGAGCATTGAGGGAACGTGTAAAAATGTGAATAATAAATGCAAGGAATGATGCAGTAATGATACTCAAATTGTTCGCAGAATAATCATTATAAATATTAGGTCTACGCTAGTTATTATTCGCTTTTAAACAAACAAAAACAAAAACAAAAACAAAAACAAAAACAAAAACAAAAAAAAAAAAAAACAAAAAACAACCAAAACAACCAAAACAACCAAAACAACCAAAACAAAAACAAAAAAAACAAAATTTCAAAGAATCGTACGCTTTATGCTGATATTGCATAGCTTGTTATTACGTCGATTAAAAATCATAAATTGTAAAAGATATTATACAAAGACACTTTTTGAAAGTACATCACTGCGGCATTCGTTTAAATCGTAAGGGATGCGTTAGCACAAGTGTTCTCACTTGGCAAAAGTCATATGAATAATTTTAAATAATGTTGAACGAGGCACAGATAAAGGGCAAAAAAGTATTTAAAAGGTGTCGAAATTTAAGCGAAAAATGCAAATAATTATGTTGTCGCTATCTCGTAAGTTTTCGTTTTCGGATCTCGTGACGTAAACGCGTTTCTCAACGCCCGAATTTTCGAAAGAACAAATTCAGACTATTAAAATTAATTGCCAATGAAAACAACGTGCAAATTTCGATGTTTATTTATAAATAATTGATTAATCATGCAATAAATCAATCAATCAATCAATCAATCAATCAATCAATTAATTAAAATAATTAAAATAATTAAAATAATTAATTAATTAATTAATTAATTAATTAATGCGTGTGCGTTATGTGTGCTATCGGTGTTATAATGTGCGAAATATCGGGCTGAGAGAAACGCGCGAGAATGAATCTCGATCGCCTTCTACGCGAGTGTGTAACACATTTGGCGCTGAATCAACAAATATCAACATATATCATTGTCGGATAAGCGTGAAATTATTGTTGTTATCGCGCTAAGGTCAGAGGGCGATTGATTTTCCTGGACGCGAAGTTGGTTATCGTACGCGTTGGTAAAACAGGTCGCTTATGGTAACAGAATTGTGTATGAAATTTTCGGGAGCTCCTTTTTATTGGAATGTCAAAGGCGCGTTTGTACAGTGGATTCCGTTCGGGTCCAATTCGACAATAAATAGCAAAGTGAAATCTATAAACCATTAATTCGTATTATTTCATTATTACTTTTTCTTCTCCCATTGTTCTCGGCACAGAGGCTGAATTTGAGCGCGCCATTATAAATTAAATCATGCGCAGATATAGTGCAGTTAATAAATAACCGACTGAAAATTCATAATAAAAATAAATTAATAATCTTCGAGAGTTAACAGTCGATTGTTACGTTGCTTTAATGAACACCTGCAATTGCTATAATGCAATGTAAATCGTTGAATTTATCTTTACTTGAATTCAATTAGCGATTAATATTTCATGATGCCATTAATACATTATCTCAGGCATTATTTGTTATTATTGAGTAGCATTGAGTATCGTAAACATTCCCTAAGACGATACATTATTAATAATTCAAATTAATTGTGTTGAGAGCCACATACCATTATGTCACTTCTATTCGTATTTAATATTTTCATCATTATTTCGATTCTTAATCAATATTCATTATTATAAAGTTCAAAAACAAAAATTTCGAAATAAATTATTACGACGTGGTTATCACAGTTTGTTTGTAGAATAAATAGAATCATATTGGTGATACTTAAAAATTTGAATTTGAAACAAAATTAATTTTTTTTTTTTTTTAAATTAATTTATAATATTTTTATATCGTATGCCTTCCCAACACTCTTACAGTCTACGGATCAATAATATTTTTGCGTACTACGTCTCTCATTTATACCTCTAAGAAGTAATATACAATAATTTAATGTTTAAATAAAAAGTAAGTGAAAGCCCTAGTCAATTATTACTATTCAATTGTGAAACTACAAAAATAAATTATGGTCATTAAATATTTATCATACCCGTATGATACTTATGACACT